GAGAGAGACAGCGAGAGAGGGAACACAAGCAGGGGGAGTGGAAGAGGGAGAAGCAGGCTTCCCTCTGAGCAGGGAGCCCGACGCAGGCTCCATCCCAGGACCCTGGGACCATGACCTGAGCCGAAGGCAGACGCTTAACGACTGAGCCACCCAGGCGCCCCTCCTGCTCTTTGTTTTGTTCTTCTCTCTGTCTCTCTGAGCCTGACTGTGAAGTTGGTTTCTCCACCTGAAGGTTCTAGGTGGCACCTTTTCTCGGGCCTTCTTGTGTACTAACATAGTGCTGCCCCGGCCAGCTCGCCTCTCTCCCTCCCCACTTACCTGCCCTGCCTGTCTCCTGTGCAGAGGAGGACTGGGGCTGGTCTCTGAACCCCCAGAGTCTGCAGGGCCCCCAAGCAGGCCGGATGCGGGGCTCAGGAGTTTGAGTCCTTGGAACCGGTAGAACAGCTGGGCAACCATGGGAGGCAAAGGTCGGTGCTGCTGATGCTGCCCGAGTGGAGCACCCTCTCCTTTCTGCTACCTCAGGAACTTTATCCCTTCTGAGCTACGGCTGGCAGAGAGGGGCTGTCATGTGAGCCCAGGGGTCACGGGTGCAGCCCCAGCTCCTGCTAGCCGAAGGCCAGCTGGAGGGCTGCAGGCATGACCCGGACTCTCCTGACAGTGCTCCATGCCAAAGCTTGGAGCAGGAGGCCAGGAAGGGGAGGATATGCAGCCCGATGGTGCCAGAGACATGGAGATTGGATCAGAGTTACCACTCAGAGGAAAGAGTTTCAAGGTAGCCAGGCTCCAACCCTAACCGCCACTCTCAGTGAAGGGAAGAAACCAGACTTCTAATTTTGCCTTTACCAGTTACTGAGTGACCACGAAGAGGCTCTTTCCTGCTCTCCTCCTGTTTTCCTATCTGTGCAGTGGAGAGAGGCTGGCTGCCATGCCTCACTTTACCAGTGCTGAGTCTATGATTCTATCACCCCGGAGGCTTCTGGCGCTGTGGACTTGAAGGGAGTGGGCCTGGGACTGTTCCATGGGGGTGGGGTGGGGGGAGGAACAGGGTTAGGAGGGGAGAAGCTGCTGGCGGGAGGAGGCTGGCTACTGAAATCACCACACTGGTCTGGGAATCAGGAGGCCTGAGGTCCAGGCCCATCTCTTCACTCCCCTACCTGATCTCTCTGAACCTGTTTCCCCATCTGTAGAAGGAGATAATCATGCCAGCACTATTTCGAGGATCCAGGAACTCACAGACGTCCCTGCTGGGAGGATTCAGCTCTGAGTTGAGACCAGGGGTTGAGGGAGAGCTGGAGATGGCTCCCTGGGGATGAGGATGGGGGTCTGAGGGCCCACAGGTGTCAACAGAGGAGGCTAAAAGGAGCCATTGTGGGAAGCAGGAAGGGGCCCTCTGGGATGGGCTAATTACAGGCCAGGCTCTTCCAGACAAAGCCAGCAGCCTCTGAGTGGCCATTCTTCCAGAGAAGAAAGAAGACTGGAGGGCTCCATTAAGGCCTTTCATGCTGGAGCCCAGGAGGGCAGCTTGAAGTCAGCACCACTGCCTCCCCTCCTCACCTCACATCCTGCTCCTTCCTGACTCCTTCTGAGGGAACCAGGCCTCTGCCTGCAGTTTCAATCTTTTGAAAACCACAGAAAGCTGAATCAGGGAGGCAGCTAGGAGTAGAGAGAATCCTGCAAAGGGAGTAGGGAGGTGGTCCTGATCTGCTACCCTGGGCTCAGTTTTTCCATCTGTAAAGTGGGAGCACCATCCAGGCCTGACCTGCTAAAATTCACTGAGGTTTCCAGACTTTCTCTGTGGAACTGAGGCCAGGCCCAGAGAAGCCTGAGGATTAGGAACCACTACCTCCTGGGGCACCTGGGTGGCTCAGTTGGTTAAGTGCCCAACTCTTGATTTCGGCTCAGGTCATGATCTCAGGGTTCGTGGGATCAAGCCCCGCGTCAGGCTCTGTGCTCAGTGGGAGTCTGCTTCTCTTCTTCTCCCTGTCCCTCTGCTCTCTCTCTCTGTGTGTCTCTAAAATAAATAAATAAATCTTAAAAAAAAAAAAAAATCTTAATGAAAAAAGAACAAAAAAGGGACCACTACCTCCTGGCCTGTCACTTACCCCTGCCCTCTCTCCCAGGCACCAGCCTGCCCAGTGAGGCACCAGGATGCATCTCTGAGTCCAAGCATGAGTCAAGAGCCCAAAATGGTCTTCACTTCTCTCAGATGGAATCCAGTTGAAATAGCCAAAGAACCATTTCTTATTCTTTTCTATACAAGCGAAAGCTGGATCGGGTTTGTCCATCCACTCATTTATCCTTTCATTCATTCACTCATTCATTCATCCCCTCACTCATTCATTCATCCCCTCACTCATTCATTCATTCAATAATGCTTTAATGGTCCCCCAGGTACCTATCCCTTGCTCGGCCCTGGCCTGGACACACAGACATGATCCCTGAAGGAATATTCAGTCGACTATGGCAAGTCATCATTTGAGACAGAAGGAGGAAGGTGTAGAGTGGGGCAGAGGTGGGAGTCATTGACCCGGTTCCAGAGGAAGAGGCTTTTAGCTAGTCTGCAGCCTGCGTAGGATGACGCCCGGTGTGGCTGGGCAGTTGGGGCAGAGGGAAGAGCACTAGCAAAGGCAGGGGAGGGGAGACAGGGCAGGTCTGGCCTGGGGCAAAAGTAAGCCTCCCCAGGGCATTATGTTAAGTGAAATAAGCCAGTCACAAAAGGACAAATACTGTGTGACTCCACTTAGATGAGGAGCAGTCACATTCATAAAGACAGAAAGTAGAAGGGCCAGTTGCCAGGAGCTGAGGGGAGGGAGGAATAGGGAGTTGTTGTTTCATGGGTATAGAGTTTCAGTTTTATAAGATGAGAAGAGTTCTGGAGATGGGTTGTGCAATAATGTGAATGTACTTAACATTTACTGAACTGCACACCTAGAAATGATTAAGAAGGTAAGTTTTACATTATATCTATTTTACCATAATTTTAAAGGATAAGTATACACACACACACACACATACACACCCAAAAAATGAGCCTTTCCCGGAGACTGAGTTGGGGAGGGGAGGCGGGAAGTGGAAGGGGTGCAGGGCCCTCCAACCATGCTGAGACCAACATGGTCACCTCAGACCTTTTATAGAAAGTGGGAGGGAGGGAAAGAAGAGAGGAAAGCAAGAGGAGGGAAGTGTGGCATGGCTCAGGGTAAACCGACTAGAAAGAACTGCTGTGTGCATGGGATCTGCTTGCAGGGTCATGGGGCTGGGTGCAGCTCAGAGGTTGGCCCCAGGGCAGAAGGGAGTGACTCCCATCTTGTGACATCTTTGGGGGTCACTTCAAACATGCAAGGGAAGAGAGCTACTTCAATTGAATCACTGGATCTCCAAGACCTTAGACCTAGCGGGGGCAAACCATGGCTTCTAGACCCAGGTTGGTTGGGCAGGCCCAACTGTTGAGGCAAAGGTTTCCAGGTGGCCTCTCTTCCCCAAACGGCCAGACTCTGGCTTTCCCACTATGACTTACAGAGTTGCAGCCCGCCAGAGCTGTGGGAAGACTTACCACCCAACTCACCCTTATGATACGAATGGGGCCACTGACACCCAGAGAGGGAAAGGGATCTGCCCAAGTTCACGTGCAAGTCAGGTGGCTAGAACTCTGGTCTTCTAAACCCTCTTTGTCTCAATTTCTCCTTGGGGGAATCTGAAGGAACTGGATTCTAATCATTGCAGAGGAAGCCTACCACATACTTGGGGACCCTTAGCAGGGCTGGCCAATACCGTCTTTAGACTGGTTATCTCTTACTTTGTGGAAATAATGCATTCCAGTCAAAGTGACTTCAAATGAACTCTTGAATGAAATCTATGCTACCCATACATGTGCTTTTTGGACTCAAAACTGTACTTGTCAATTTTAGGATACAGAAGTCCTTGATAATATGAATTTCAATCTTCGAGCCAGTCCCAGGACAGGTTTAATAGGAGAAAGTATAGTGATAGGTACGGATCTCAGCTCAGCTTCTTACTAGCTGTGTAATCTGAGATTCTCTCAGCCTCAGATTCTTCATCTGTAAAATGGGAATGATTATATCTACATCACAGAGCCATGTAGAGTGCCTGGTAGGCAGTAGCTGCTCAATGAAGAGTATCATAAATGATGATGATGATGATACTGGAGGTGAAGATGGTGGTGATGGTGGTGGTAATAACGTTGGTGGTGATGGTGATGGTAGAGATGGTTCTTACTGAAGAGTGTTCAGAATTTTCCCTCTCCCGTTGGGTATCAGCAAGACCCAGGCTCAGGAAGGATGGATTCCAGCTTGACAACTCTTTAGTGTAAGAAGCTTTGGGCTCTCTGCCCGATATTGTGAGTTTTGATTACAAAGGCAAACTGGTTCCAGAAGCAGGTGCTAAGGCCATGCTCCCAGAGAACAAGCACTGTCCCTCTTCCCTTGAGACCACCCCCCCAACTCATCAACTTTTGGGGATGAATAGGCATATAGAGACAGGCTCTCCCAGAAATGGAAAGTCCTGAGAACCCCATACCCTGTGCTCCCCACACCAGTACTCCTCATCCCTGACCCTGCACTAATTTTCCCATAGAATTATCATCTTCTAACACATATTATAATTATTTATTTTCTATATTTTGTGCCTGTTTCTATCTGTCCCAACCTCCCTCCCCCACTAGAAGAGAAGCTTCAGGAGGGCAGGATCCTTCATTTGTTTCACTGCTGTATTCCAAATGCCTAAAATAGTGCCTGGCACACATTAGATGCTCAATAAATATTTGTTGAATGAACAAATGCTAAAAGGGAGGGATCAGTGGCGGCCTTTGTTCCCCATGACAGGCCCAGCTTCCTGGCTTGTTGCCTGGTTTCTCCTCAAACAAACAGAGAGGGGTGGGGTACGGCCCTGAGCGCCTAGTGTACAGGCTTTCAGAGTGGGCCCAGGCTGGGGCTGTGGGAGGGAGGGGGCAGCGCTCAGCCGGGGGGTCAGTCCCCGGCAAGTTCATGGCCTTCAGGGGGCCGGAACCCTGGGTCCCTGCATCCCTGCAGAGCCAGAGGTTGAAGGCTGAGGAGAAGATACTGGATCTGGAATTTGAAGTCTTAAGTGTGGGGTTTAACGAGGAGGGCAGATACGTCCTGCGGCTGACAGCTGAGAACCCCCTGCAGGCTGGATCTGGGGCTGGGGTACTATTGCAGGTAAATAATGGGGACCCCCTCCCTACCTGCTCTGCTGTCACCGATGTCATTGAGCAGCAGGATCCTGGCCAGAGCCTCGCCCTCACCAGGAACAAGTTTGTCTTTATTTTGCCCAAAGGTATGAAGTGAGGGTGGTGGTTGGGGGGGAGAGAAGGATCCTGTAACTCCTGCCCCAGCCCCTGGCAGGGACCCCAGGGAGCCTCAGGGAAACTGGGAGGGTCAGAACTTTAGACTGGATCCCAAAGCTCTGTCTGTGTGATCTTGGGCAAATGCTGGTCCTCCGTGAGCCCCTGCCTCCTTCAGTGTGACAGGGGGACACTGATGCTGGTCACACGGGTCGCGTGAGGAGGAAATAAAAGGACAGATGAGGAATGGCTTTGTAAATTTACAAAAGCTGAGTACACAGCAGGTTTGGGGCCAGTCCCACTGGATGTCACACTGAGTAACATTGGAGCCAGTGCCCTGGGTGCCCAGCCCTGAGCACCACTGGACTGTGGGCATGGGGGTGGACGGAGAGGTGGAGACCAGGGTCTGGCGTTCAGGAAGTTTCCAGATTAGGTAGAAAGGCGGGAATCTCAACAGAGAATAGATAAGTGGTCTGGAAGGAGCAGAAGATCCACGCCTAGACTGCGAGGCCACGCAGGCAGGCTTCCTGGAGGAGGAGGGCTGTGAGGGAATGGGGAAACCAAGTCCCAGGCCTTCAGGTGACCAGAGATCAGGGACAGGTTGAACTCTTCCCTCCAAGTAGTGATACTCAGGACCATGTCACGGGCTGAGAGCCCTCCCAAACCCCACATCGGTAGAGGGAGGGCTCAAAGGTGGGGTCCGAGAGGTGTCAAGCCGTCATCCGCTGGGAAAGCTTAGCCAAGCCCGCTCCCACTCAGAGGGCCCGCCGCCCAGGTTTCCCCCTCCCCACCCAGGGCCCTACCAGTCATCCCTACCCCCCGGGGGGAGGCAGGGAGCCCCCAGACACGGCCCCTGAGCCCACGTCTCCCCTCTCCAGGGTTCTGCAAGAACGACGGGCAGCACGACGCGCAGCTGCGGGTGGAGGCGCTGCTGCTGGGCGGGGCCTCAGGACGCCCCGCCCAGCGGGTGGGCGAGGCCATCTTCCCGGTCTTCCCGCGCCCGGACCAGCCCCGCATGAACCTGTGGGCGCGGGAGCACGAGGACCTGTACCGGTACCGCGGCAGCCTGGCCCTGCTGCGTGCCAGCGCCGACCCCACGGCCCGCCACTGCGGGGGCCTGGCCTACAGCGTGGCCTTCCGGGAGCACCGGGACCCTCAGCCTCCAGCCCCCAACTGCCCCCCGGGGGCCGGCCGCCCAGGCCCCGTGTCACCGCGCCCAGAGCCCCAGCTGCCCGGGCTGCAGGTGGGTGTTCCCTGGGGCCCGGCTCAGGTTCTGGCATCACCACCACCCCCCCACACACCGGCCCCCAGATCCAGAGTCTCTGATAAGCCTGGCTGTCCCCAAATCCTCACTGAGCAGAGCAGCAGACCTTCCTAGGGTGGCCTCATTCAGTTCTGGAGAACCTGCAGTCTGAGAATGGAGGCAGGGAGTCCCAGGGGGTGACAGAAATATGGAGCAAAGCCCACACGGAGCAGGGACACTACTGGGTAGAGATTTTTTTTGCCCAGTGGGTGAGTGTCCCCTGAGAGCCTTTAGTCCCCAAACTCAGTCTCATGCATTGTCACCATGTTTTGAGAGAGGCCGAAGTGACCATGAGACAGAAGTCTGTGTGCGCCCACCTCCAAACCCCTCCAGCTCCCACCATGGCCAGGAGGGACTCAGCCCCGAATCGGGATCCTGGCAGCCTCAGACCCAAGTAAGAGACTCCTGTCCTTGTCCTAGCTGAAGGAGGGTTTCCCGGGGCGGTTGTGTTCTGCAGCCAGGCCATGTGTTTGGTAAGCCTCGAAGCCAGCACAGGTGGAAGCTAGTAGAGCAAGTAGCTGCCCATTTCATAGGCAGTGAAACTGAGGATCATGCCCCAGGATGCTTGGTTCCATTTAATACCAGTGATACTTCCTGGGGAACTTTACACTGGTGCGTGGGATCCAAAGCTAGGTCAGTCCCAGAGCTCACAGTGCCACCTAGCTTGAAGACAGTGGATACAGTGTGGGCATTATATAGTCCTGTAAGTCATGTGCTGGAAGGGGCGCTCTGGTGAGGGAGTGTGAAGGTCAGGCTCCTCAGAAGAGCTGTCATTTGAGATGAATCTTTCATTCATTCATCCATTCATTCATCCATCAGACATTTGTTAAGTGCTGACCCTGTCAGAACCTATCCTGGGTGGGCAAGATTTCGGGATGCCAGCTCCGGGCTCTGGGGAAGGTATTCCAAGAGGAGGGACAAGAATAAGCTGGCGGAGGAGAAGGAAAGGGTTTAGCCGGCCGCAGGAGAAAGGAGGCAAGGGGGGAGAAAGTTCTTGTGGGAGAAAGATACACCGTGAACTGTGGTTTAGATAGCAATCTGGCAGCATGTGCCAGGAGAACTGGGAAGGGACCCAGAGGCCCATGTCTCTTGCCAGGTCTCAGCCTGTTACGTGGACCACTTTGGCCTCTGTTCGTTCATTCATTCATTCATTCATCCGTCAGTCCATTAACAAATACTTTTAAAAGATCAACAAATACTTTTGACCACCTACTGTATGCTGGGGGCTGAGAACCCCACTTGTGAGGGAGTTGGAGCGTCTCTGGGTTCCTATGTGACATTCCAGTCCCTCAGGCTGCAAGCTCCAGGACTTTGGGGCCCTGGCCCCTCTGTCCTAGTTTGTCACAGGGCTAGGTACACACACCAGAGGCTCCGAGCGCAGGGAGAAGCGGTCCCCTGCTCTCTGTGACCAGCCTGAGCCAGGGCCCCACAGACAGCTTGCAGGCTGCAGGGAAGGGGGGCCTTGGGTGGCGGAGCCATCCTCGGCAGCTCTAATTTCTGTTATTTAATGCTATCATCTCCCTGCCGTTCTCCCTCTTAAAGTGTCAGATGTCTGCTTCTACCAAGACAAGAAAATGGCTTTCAAGGGAGAGGAAAATAGCTTCCCTCCTGGGGGGTCAGCAATCACAACCCTGATGACAAGGCCAGGAAACCGATGGGGGACAGACAATGCCGCGGGGTCCTTCAGAGGATAGAGGGGCTGCCTTCTTTCGGCTCAGGTGGACGAGGAAGGTGGGCACCTTTCTGGAGCTGGGACTTGGAAGCTCAAAGACACAGCAGGAAGGACAGCAGCAAGAAGGGCTGGGGCCACCGTCCCTCCTACCTGTAGCCAGCTCCCCGGAGAAGCGGTTGTGGCCTAGAACCACAGGGACCCTTGAAAGCCTCCTCCCTCCCCTCTTAGCAGATGGGGAAAATGGAGCCCAGGAGGGAAGGACTTCACCCAGCTCTCTTGGGCTCTCAACTGAAGAGGAGAAAAACAGCCGAAAGGGGGATAATGTGAGGTGGTGAGAAGAGGCAGTGATCTGGAAGGATGGAGAGAGGAGACTTTATTCACTGCATTCAGTTCAGGGCCAGGAATGGATTTCTGGGCTCAAGATCACCTCCTCCAGGAAGCCTTCTCTGCATTGATTTTGTTCCTTCCAGACTATCTTCAGTCCTGTCTGCATTAGGCATTTCAACCCTTGAATCCATTGTTCTCCAACTTGTGTGTCAGTTTTTAAACCAGAACTGATGATGGTCATGGGACAAGCGGGGAGCAGAGGGCAGGGGGCTGGGAATGCAATGTCAAGAGTGAGTAGGCAGGAGGAGGCAGGGCTCCAAGGGAGCGGCAGTGGCTGACTTTGAATCTGAGCCACTGTGCTCCTCAGCCACGGCCCTAAATGACACACCACCGCGGGCCACAGCATTTCCACAATCCTGAGACCACCAGGACAGTCAATCCGCCCACAGTAACATCATGTGGGCAGTGAACACCTTCCCTTTTCCAGTCAAGTTTCCCCGTGTGTGTGTTGGGGGGTGAGGGCATAGCCCCCGCGAATATTTCCAGCGGGTATAGCCCGACTCCAGGAGAGAGATCACTCCCTAGGCCCCTGACCCACGGATGGGGGACTGGGGCGCACCGGCAGAGGCCACGGGGGCGGGGGGGGGGTTAGTTTTCCGTGCATGGGACCGAGCTAGCTGCAAGTTTCCTGCCCTCAGCTGCTCAGGGTGCTCAGTGGCTTCCTTTCTGGGCAGAATTCCACCAGGCTCATCCTGTCCCTGATGCTACCTCCTTATCCTCTTAGCAGGTTTAAGACCACATGGCTGTGCCACCCCAGCACCCCAAGGCCCTCCCTCCCCCAGAGTAAGAGGGAGTTTATCTGACCAGAATGAGGGTGGTCTGTCCAGGGCTGGGCAGAGGGAGTCCCTGAGGGTGAGGGAAGCAGCAAGGTGCAGGCCACAGTCAGGTGGTGACTCCGGCTCAATTCTTTTAAGGGGGAGCGACGCCTCCTGGGGGGTTGGAGGGCAGGGGAGGACACCACAGCCCTCAGGGGCCACATCCCTCCTGGCACCTCCCTCGACCTCTCTAGGAGATCCTGAAGGCTTGAGGACAAACTCCCACAGGCAGAGCTGTTTAAGAGAGAAACCTTGGGCTGGAAATTCCCAGTGATGAAATTTCTGGAAACATGAACTTAAAAACGCCTTGCTTGTAGCCCTGGGAGCCATCCTGGGGGCTCCTTCACTCTGCAAGCGAGCATCCTCCCACTGGTGCGGGAGCTGGGGAGGGGAGGGCGCCGGGGGGCTCCCTCCCCCACCCCTGCCCTGCATTTACCTCTTCCAAACAATCGCAGTTTTGTTTCAGGGAAACTATTCCGTTCCCCAGGAGCCTTTTAAATGACGCTTTCAAGGGTCTTTTTTTTTCATAGTCTTTCCATTTTAAACACTTTTTTTTCTTTTTGCCCTGGAGGGGGAAAAAGGAGAAGAAAAAGCTAATAAAGCAATCACCAAATGCTGAGCACCTGGCTCGCAGCCTGTGGCTTCTGATTGAGGCTTTGGCACCAACAGGCGGGGGCTTTCGTTAAGGAGCCGGGGAGGGGAGGAGAGCTGGCGGCGGCTGGCCGGGCGTCCCCTCTGCCCTCTGTCCCTAAACCTCTGGCTCCGCTGTCTCCCTTTGTTCCCTCCCTCCCAGTCCCTCTCCCCCTCTCCTTTCCCTCCTCCCCGGCCCCACCCCCTCCGGTCCCCATTCGGAGCTCCAGGCCTGCACACTCGCGGCCCCAGCGGCCCCAGCGGCTCCCCTCTGGCCAGCGCACTCCACGTCTTCACTCTCTTCCCCTCTTTACTCCTTTAAATTCATTGTGCCTTTTATTGCTCGCTATTGCACACGCGTTTCTATTGCCCTGGAGACTAAAAATGGTTCAAGCGGAGAAAGGCGCACAATGTGGATTTCATTAATTTTATCGCCCGGTTGATCTCAGGGTGGGGGTGGGGAGCTGTCCTGGCTGGGGGAGCTGGGCACCTCCTTGCTCAAGCCCCTTCGCCTCAGTGCCAGACCTTTGGTGTCCCTCACCTAGAGAAACCTCCACTTCTACTCACTCCCACTTTCCTGTCGGAGGAGGACGCCCAGGACCCATTTCACAGGTGGGGAAACAGAGGCTCCAGAAGGCACGGCTCAGGCTGCTACTAAGAGGTGGGAAAGGTGAGAACAGGTTAGACCGGGCCTGCTGGCCCCCTCCCAGGCTAATGTCCCTAGTCCCTCTGTACAGGGATCCCACTGTCGCCCCTCCTCCTCCCTCGCCTCCTGAGCTCCATCAAATACAGAGGATTGGAGCAGGTCAGCTCTTTCTTGCAAATGAGGCAGTTTTATGGGCTTTAGAAAAACACTCCGATTGTTCCCTCAATTACCCCGAGCGGATTGAATATATTAATCTCTCTCTTAACTCGAGTGAGACTTGGCTGCCGCCCCTCCCCCAGCCACCAACACCCTTCTAGAGCTCGGCTGGAGTGACTCCCAGCCCCTGGCCTTCCTGGCCCTGGGCAGGTCAGCCTGGGTCCAGGCAGCATGCTTTTGCTGCACACACGCGTGTGCACACCCACACACACCCACACACCCACACACACCCGGCGGAGAGCTGCTTTACGTTTCTCTATCAATTTTCATTGATTTCCTCCTTTGCGGCTATTTGGAAGAGCCTTTTCCTTGAGTAAACTTGATCACGGGGGCCGGGGAGGTGGGGGGGGTGGGAGGGGGGATGGCAGGCAGCTCCCCCTTCCGCTCCTGTGACAACTGCCTCCAGCTTAAACACACTCTGCCTCAGGCAGCTGAGCCCCCGTTAAAAGCTACCTGAGGTTTCCCTTTGTAGCTCGATTTTCTTTTATTTCCGTGGAACAAAGGCTCTGTCAAGGCGTTCCCAGAGCGCT